GCACTCTCTTGACTTCAGCACAGCTTTCTTGCAGGGCAGCCTGCACGAGGAGATCTGGCTGCGTCGCCCACCTGGCTTCACTGGGTCTTTCCCTCCTGGTACCCAGTGGAGTCTCCGGCGTCCAGTCTACGGTCTTCGCCAGGCGCCACGTGAGTGGCACGACACACTGAGGACTACGCTTGCGGCTCTTGGGTTTGCTCCTTCTACTGCCGACCCGTCGCTGTTTCTGCGCACCGACACCTCTCTGCCGCCGTTCTACATCCTCGTGTACGTCGACGAGTTGGTCTTTGCCACAGCTGACACTACTGGACTCGCCTACGTGAAGTCCGAGCTGCAGAAGAGACACACGTGCACAGACCTGGGTGAACTGCGCAGCTACCTTGGCTTGCAGATCACCCGGGACAGAGCACGCCGCACCATTACCCTGACTCAGTCACACATGGTGCAGCAGGTCCTTCAGCGCTTCGGCTTCACGTACTCCTTGCCTCAGGCCACTCCTCTGTAGACTCGCCACTCGCTCTCAGCTCTGCCTTCGGATGCGTCCGTAGAGTTGAGTGGCCCGTACCCAGAGCTTGTTGGCTGCCTCATGTACCTGATGACCTGCACACGACCTGACCTTGCATACCCTCTTAGCATTTTCGCACGCTATGTTGCTCCTGGGAGACACCGACCAGAGCACATGGCTGCAGCGAAGAGGGTGTTGCGCTACCTGTGCAGTACGTCGGGCATGGGGCTAGTGCTTGGAGGGCGGAGTCCAGTGGTCCTCACTGGGCACGCGGGCGCTTCTTGGGCTGACGACTAGGCTACACAGCGGTCGTCACAGGGTTACACCTTCAGCCTTGGTTCCGGCTCTGTTTCGTGGCGGGCTACTCGCTCGTCTTCTGTTCTTGGCTCCAGTTGTGAGGCTGAGATCTACGCCGGGGCCATGGCTGCACAGGAGCTTCGATGGCTCACCTACCTGCTGATCGACCTTGGAGAGCCGCCTCGTTCTCCTCCAGTCCTGTACGTAGACAATAAGGCCATGCTGGCCTTGTGTCGAGAGCAGCGACTGGAGCACAGAACGAAGCACATTGCTCTCCGCTACTTCCTTGCTCGTGAGCTACAGCAGCGTGGACAGTTGCGGCTTGCGTACGTGGCCTCTGAGGCCAACACTGCTGATGTCTTCACCAAGGCACTTGCGCCTTGTGATCATCAGCGCTTTTGCACTCAGCTGGGTCTTGTGCCCGTCTTGCCTCACTTGCTCTCCTCTTTTCCTTTCTTGTACTCTCACATATATATATATACCTGCTCTTGCTTGTCTAGCTTTATATATATGTGTGTACTCTTGCATGTGAACTGGCCGTGTGGCCTTGACCCTGTGCTCGGACTGTGTGGTGACTTTGTGATCCACCCTGAGCTTGCTTTGCTTTGCTTTACTTGACTGGTCTTGTGACCCCTTGTTCTCCCCCACTTTGCCTATGGGGGTGTGTCAGAATACTATATAGCTTATACATTTGTGTAGGCTATAGTGGGGTATCCCATAGGGGGTACAACCCAATTAGGGTTAGTACTTGTACTCACTCATTTCATAGTTGATTCATTCTCTCGTTCTCATTCTCACATGAAGGCCATCGGTTCGACGAGAAGGCAAAGAGGTGACATCCGAGGGGGAAGGACAGTGGGTTACAAAGATAGAAAGGCACGAAGTTCTGCAAGCACACGTTGGGGGATGGACGGTGACAGAACCTTTGGATTCATGATAGACGAGTGAGATAGGAAAGCGTGGGTACCGAAGGGGAGAGCGATGGCGTTCCTCGCGACCTCTTCAGAGGAGGACACCCCGAAGCGGCATAGCGCTCGCTGGATAGAGAGAGCACGGATTTGGGCGGATGGGGCGATGGCGCCAAGTCCACCGTCCCGAGGGGAGTTGAAAAGGATTCGGCGAGGAATAAGGCGAACTACTAGAGCAGATTCTTTGTAGCGAAAGGAGGATAGGAAATTGCCAACTGCAGTATCCAGGCGTGCAATGGTGTCGGGCGGAGGAGGCTGGAATCGGCCGGGGAATGATAGGGTGGAGTTGAGAAAGACAGATGCGAGGGATTTGCGGCAGGTGGAGGTGGACGTAGGGACGCGAGGAATCTGGAGGAACGCTGAATTCTGGCGAGAGTTGTACTCCAAGTTGTGGCGCCGGGGTTGTCTTTCTCAACGAAGATTCCGAGAATGCGTTCAGCCTCGTTGGGCACGCGAATGGGGATAGGCCCTGCATTAGAGAGTAGCGACGAGGAGAGGTTGAAGGGGATGATGGGCAACCTTGGCGAACACCAGTGTGGACAGGAAAGAGCGGACCCGCTAGGTTATTGACGGCAATGCACGTGAAGGTACCTGAATGCATGAGGCGCACCCAGTGGACGAATGGCGAAGGCAGACCAAGGTGTTCGAGGGATTGAAAGAGAAAGGTTCGGTCCACAAGGTCGTAGGCTTTGCGGAAATCAACAGTAAGAGCGAGGAGAGGGGTGCATGAATAGGAGGCCCAGTCCATAATGTCAAGAGTGTCGTTGATGGTGTCGCCAATTTTTCGGCGTTTAATAAACGCGGTTTGGGATGGATGAACTATGTGAGGAAGCACTCGATGAAGTCGGTTGGCGAGGCAAATGGCAAGCACCTTATAATCGGAGTTCATGAGCGTGATGGGTCGGAGGTTTTCTACGAGCGTGGAGTCGCCTTTCTTGGATATAAGGACAGTTCGTCCGGAGAGCATGGACGGAGGGAGTGCAGGAGGGGGCTGCGAACTTAGCAAGGAGTGAAAGGCTGGGGCGAGCCGGGGCGTGAACGTACGATAAAGCTCGCTAGGCAGGCCATCTGGGCCAGGAGTTTTGCCCCGCGGAAGCTGTCCGAGGGCCTTCCCAATTTCGGAAAGTGAGAACGGTGTCCGCAAGAGGCGGGCTAGGGCATCGGGCAGGGTGGAACGGGGGATATGTGTCCAGAAAGAGGGGTTAGGGGCAACAAGCGCGTGCCCAGAGTATAGGTTTTGAAAGAAGCGAGTACATTCTGCAGTCATTGAAGGGAGGTAGGAGGAAGTTTCGCCATTCGGCAGTGTGACTGAGTGAATGAGAGAGGCTTTGATGCGAGTGTTGAGGCCAGCGAGTAGGGAAGAGAGGCCCATTTCACGATGGCCTTCGACTTTAAGTTTCGCTTTGAGGGCTAGCTCAACGGTTTTGGAGGCTTCATATTGCATGAGTTGGAAACGAGCCTTGCGGAGGCGGCCGTTTTCTTCCACGCTTAGGGCGGAGCAGGTAGCTTGGGTTTGGAGTCGACTAATAAGGTGACGTAGATGATCCATGGTGCCTGATACTCGACGTCGCTCCTGATTAGAGAAGCATTTGAGACGAAGGGAGAGCTGTTGTTTCCAGTGGTCCCAGTCGTTTGGCGATGGGTGGGGGGGAAGATGTGGGAGATGGGTATCCAAAATGTGGGCTATGTGAGGGCGACGCAGCAAGGAGGTGCTGAGCCTCCACGGACGGGGGGCCATGATAGGGTTGTCAAAGCCGAGAGAGCATAGTGGGGCGAACAGATGATCCGAGATAAGGTTAGGGGTGAGGAGGTAATGGGCTGCATGGAGACGGGAGAGAAAGGTGTTAGATACGTAAATGCGGTCCAGACGCGCGGCCGAGGGAGGAGGCGGCGGAAGTATAGTGCGCCGTTGTCGACCAATGTAGGAGAAGAGGTTGGTGGTGGGGTGGAGGGCGCGGAAGGAGTCCAGAAGGGAGTGGGATGAAAGGAGGTTCGCGAATGACGAGGCTTCGCTCTGTTCATGTCCGTGCAGGACGCGGTTGCGGTCCCCAGGTAGAACGACCGAATTGAAGTCGCCAACAAGAACTATACATGCTGTAGCAAAGGGGGCTTCCAGAGCCGGAGTGAGGGTGCTTCGCCACCAGACGCGACGAGTCGTGGCATGGAGAGGGGCGTAGATGGCGATTAGTCGGATTTGTTCGTGGAGAAAGTTAATGTCAACAGAAAGGAGCCGGCCATCTACAGATGGGGTGGAGGAGGAGAAGGAGATATCATTGTTAAACGAGAGGACAGAGATACCGCCTGGCGGGGGGCGCTGTCAGTAGAGCTACACTATGAGATCCCCGATCGATCCTAGGAGGGGTTACAGGCGCGTTTGCCTGGGGGGTTATGGGCGCACTGACCCGCTACCGAAACAAGCCCTTTTATCCCAATGGTCTAGTGGTTGGGATTCTGACATGGTATCAAAGCGGTCTCGGGTTCGAATCCCGGTGTATACACATGTTGGCCGTTGCCACTGTGCTCAGTCCTGGGCCTCCCAGTGTGGGGGGTGTCAGTAGAGCTACACTGTGAGATCCCCGATCGATCCTAGGGGGGGTTACAGGCGCGTTTGCCTGGGGGGTTATGGGCGCACTGACCCGCTACTGAAACAAGCCCTTTTATCCCAATGGTCTAGTGGTTGGGATTCTGACAGGCGCGTCCTTGAAGCAGTACCGGGAGGGTAGGTGGCGATCACATGTGCAGCTGCGTGGGGGCGGAAACGTAAGGATACTTTCGGGAGATTGAGAATGAGACGTGTATCGATCAACACGAGAACATCCGGCTTTTTACCCTGAGTTGAAATCCAGTTCTTAAGCGTGTTCATTTTGTAAGGCGCGTTGAGGCCGTTGATATTTAGGCATAGAAATTTGAGTTGTGCAATCATAGTAACGGTTTTAAAGCCGAACGTGCGCCTAGGCACACGCATCCACGGGCTTTAAGACAAGATAGAGATAAAGTGATCGGTATGTTCGATAAAAGAGGCGAGAAGGTGTGCAACCATTGTGTTTTTGCTTCCGAGGATAGCATATCATGATAGCTAGCTCTCGCTAGGAGGTTAAAAAGAGCACACATATTAGTGGATGTCCCTGTCAAATGAAATATATAATCTTTGAAGTACATGGCAGGAACAACACTAGAGCATAAGTGGAAAACAGGTGGCTGCGGCGCAGTACCCCCCACTCCAACTGAGGTCACTGGGAGAGGAATGAGGCGATCTGGGGGGTAGCCAGGAAGGTAAGGGCCCTCCAGATGCTGTACTTTTCCTTTGCAGCCGGGCCCTTGGCAGCTGCGTGCAGGTTGGAGGTGTGAGCCTCGGAGTCCATGTGCGCCATGGCAGACTCGAGGGCAGGGCCGCAAGTGAAGTTGCAGAGGACGCAAGTCCAGGGTTCGATGTCGGTGTCGAGCCCGATAAAGAGGAAGCCGGGGTCCTTGCGGAAGGCATCGGGAGCCGGACGGGCCCCGAGGATTTGTCCTGGGGGAAGGAGTGTGGGGGGCGGGAAGAGTGGGGGGCAAGCAAGGTAGCGAGAGGGCAGGGCAGGGGGATTCAGTGAGGTGAGGGGGTGCGTAGGAGGGGACGGAGTGAATGCAGCCACAAGCGAGCCGGGCAGCGGGTGGAAGCGCTGAAGGCAGGGGGGGTGTTTTGGGGGGGGGGGGAGGGTAGAAAAACAAGACGGGCATGAGCCGGGGGGCGAATGTGCCCATGGTGAGAGAGAAACGCTAGTACAGGCGCCGGGAGGGAGCCTTGAGGCAGGACAAGGCACTGTTGAGAGGAAGGGGAAGAGGGAGAGGATCGGTAAAGTCGAGGGTATAGGGCGAGGCAACCGCCTGGTTGCTGGAAAGGAGGTGAAGGGGGGGCACGTAAGGAGAGGACAGCGGGGGGCACAAGGAGGGAGAGAGTTTAGGCTGAGGGCAGTCGCGTAGACCATGAGGGAAAGGCAGAAAGGGGTTGGGGCAGGAGGAGGGGAACGAGGGGGCTAGCCCAAGAGGGGGACGGACAGTAAGTGGGGGCTGAAAAAAAGGGGGGAGGGAGGGGGAGCAAAAGGTAGGGGAGTTTGGAAGGGGTGGGGCGAGGAGGGGGTGAGTGCGGGGGTTCGTAAGAGGTAGGGGGGGAGACCACAGACGGCCAGAGAGAGTGTGTATCCCTAGCCGAGAAGGAGCGAGGAAGGGGAGTGCAGAGGGGGGAGTCACTGGGAAGCGGTTATGAGGGAGAGGGGAATGTGGGGCAGAAGCCATCCGCACTGGCGTGGCGTGGAGCCAGGGAGAGGAAGGTGAGGTTGAAACGAAGGGCAGGGGGGAGCGGGTAGGGGGTTGGGCCGGGGAGCTAGGGGCACAAGATCCACTTAGTGCAGGAACGAAGACGGGAGGCCAGCCAGAGGCAGTGAGGAGATAAACCAGAGAGTAGGGGGGGGAGTGAGGGGGGTGATGAGAGAATTGAAACGAGAATGAATGCACTATGAAACAGTTGGGTACAAGTACTAACCCTAATTGGGTTGTACCCCATATGGGCTACTCCACTACAGCCTACACAAAAGCATAAGCTATAATGTTCTAACACACCCCCATTGGCAAAGTGGGGGAGAACAAGCGGTCACAAGACCAGTCAAGCAAAGCAAAGCAAGCTCAGGGTGGATCACAAAGTCACCACACATTCCGAGCACAAGTTCAAGGCCACAAGGCCAGTTCACATGCAGGAGTACATATACATATATATATAGAAAGCTAGACAAGCAAGAGCAGGTGTATATATATGTAAGAGTACAACCAAGGTCAAGAGGTGAGCAAGTGAGGCAAGACACGCACAAGACCAAGCTGAGTACAGAAGCGCTGATGATCACAAGGCGCAAGTGCCTTGGTGAAGATATCAGCAGTGTTGGCCTCAGAGGCCATGTACGCAAGACGCAGCTGACCACGCTGCTGCGGCTCACGAGCAAGAAAGTAGCGAAGAGCAATGTGCTTCGTTCTGTGCTCCAGTCTCTGCTCTCGACACAAGGCCAGCATGGCCTTGTTGTCTACGTACAGCACTGGAGGAGAACGAGGCACCTCTCCAAAGTCAGTCAGCAGGTAGGTGAGCCAGCGAAGCTCCTGTGCAGCCATGGCCCCGGCGTAGATCTCAGCCTCACAACTGGAGCCGAGAACAGAAGACGAGCGCGTAGCCCGCCACGAAACAGAGCCGGAACCAAGGGTGAAGGTGTAACCCTGTGACGACCGCTGCGTAGCCTGGTCGTCAGCCCAAGAAGCGTCTGCGTGCCCAGTGGGGACCACTGGACTCCGCCCTCCAAGCACAAGCCCCATGCCCGATGTACTGCACAAGTAGCGCAACACCCTCTTCGCTGCAGCCATGTGCTCCGGTCTGTGTCTCCCAGGAGCAACATAGCGTGCGAGAATGCTAAGAGGGTATGCAAGGTTAAGTCGAGTGCAGGTCATCAGGTACATGAGGCAGCCAACAAGCTCTGGGTACGGGCCACTCGACTCTACGGACTCATCCGAAGGCAGAGCTGAGAGCGAGTGGCGAGTAGGCAGAGGAGTGGCCTGAGGCGAGGAGTATGTGAAGCCGAAGCCTTGAAGGACTTGCTGCACCATGTGTGACTGAGTCAAGGTAATGGTGCGCTGTGCTCTGTCCCGGGTGATCTGCAAGCCAAGGTAGCTGCGCAGTTCACCCAGGTCTGTGCACGTGTGTCTCTTCTGCAGCTCGGACTTCACGTGGGCGAGTCCAGCAGTGTCAGCTGTGGCAAAGACCAATTCGTCGATGTACACGAGGATGTAGAACGGCGGCAAAGAAGTGTCGGTGCGCAGAAACAGCGACGGGTCAGCAGTAGAGGGAGCAAACCCAAGAGCCGCAAGCGTAGTCCTTAGTGTGTCGTGCCACTCACGCGGTGCCTGGCGGAGACCGTAGACTAGCCGCCGGAAGCTCCACTGGGTGCCAGGAGGAAAAGTCCCAGTGAAGCTAGGTGGGCGGCGCAGCCAGATCTCCTCGTGCAGTCTACCCTGTAAGAAAGTAGTGATGAAGTCAAGAGAGTGAAGCTCGTAGTCGCGCTGAGCGGCTATGTGCAGCAGCACCCGAAGAGTGGTCATCTTCGGGGTGGGAGAGAAGGTCTGAAAGTAGTCAACTCCCTGCCGCTGACTGAAGCCACGAGCCACGTACCGCGCCTTGAAGACAGGCGGGGAACCCGGCGGCCGCTTCACCCTGAAGATCCACATCCCACTGACGATGTTCGCCCCAGGAGGGGGGACAGCGTCAACGTAGGTGCCTGTGGACTTCCAGGAAGCCATCTCTGCATCCATAGCTGCCTGCCACTGAGAGGAGTAGGGACCCTCTATCGCCTCCGCGTAAGAGCGCGGAGTCGGGATGTCAAGTGCGTCCGGGTCTCCCTCAGGGGTAAGTAGTACGGACACGAGATGAGGTGAAGCAGCAGCCAGACACTGGAACTCCTCCTGCCTGTCCTCAAGGACGTCCGTGCCAAGGGCACACTCACCCCCGACGGACGAAGGACAGACAGACTCAGACTCAGCGACAAGACTAGCAGCGTAGTCTAGACGACAGCGAGCAGCAAAGTCGACGAGCTCAGCAACTAGGGCAGACGCAGCGGTGGACTCAAAAGAAGGGTCAGTGACGATAGTAGCAAGGAGACGCGTGATAGTAGGACTGGCAGCACAAAGAGAGTCCGACTCATGGTCGGCAAGAGCAGGAAGACAGGACTCAGGAGGAGAAGGCAACAGGGCACGCAGAGGAGCAGTGGACGGACGCAGAGACATCCGGTGCGTGCCAGGGACAGGAGGAGGACGCTCACACGAACTACGACCACTAGCGCGAGCAGGACGGACAGGCGACGTAGGGCGAGACGCAGGCTCACGACCCTCAGCAAGACCTCCAGTAGGACCAGTGTAGGGAGAAGGAGCAGGCAGCGGGGAGGCGGGTTGTAATCGTAACTGTGACGAGACAGGCTGTGGACACTCTAAGGGAGGAGGAGGACCAGTAGAAGGCGGGAGACCAAGAACCAGCTGAAGGAGCGGAACGAAGTACGGCCGAGGCCGCGCGGCGACTCTAGACACAGCAGGGACAGCACCAGCACCCCCAGCGGCAGCACCAGCGCCAGCAGCACCTCCAGCTCCAGTAACTCCAGCAGCACCAGGATCGACAGCAGTAGCCTCACTACCAACACCCGCAGCAGCTCCAGCTCCAGACGCACCCGCCGGCCCAGCAGCTCCAGTACCTCCCGTACGAGCACCTCCGGGAGCGGCAGCACCAGCACCTTCAGCAGCCGAAGAAACCCCAGCTCCAGCAGTACGCCTCCAGCGTCGGCCAAACCACTCGCGCAGCTCCTGTGGAGAGAGGGGCTCCCGCCGAGACGACGCACCCGGAGAACCTCCAGGCCCAGCACCGCCGGACGCCTCACAAGCAGGCCCAGCTCCCTCAGGCTCAGTACCTCCAGTCGTAGCACCCCCAGGCTCAGCACCCCCAGGCGTAGTACCCCCACGCTCAGCACCCCCAGGCCCAGCACCCCCAGTCTCAGCACCCCCAGTCTCTGTACCCCCAGGCTCAGCACCCCCAGTCTCAGTACCCCCAGGTGTAGCACGCACACGCACAGCACCCCCAGAGTCAGCACCCCCAGGCTCAGCACCCTCAGCAGCACCAGAGTCACCAGTGACCTCGACAGGCTCGACTGCGTCTACCTGGGACACACCTGAAGGGGACGGACCCTGAGGGGGGAGGGGGTCTACCTGAGGGGGACCTGGTACAAGGTAGAGCGGCGGCGGGGGGAGGGACGGAGTGCGGTAGGGGAAGAGGCGGTAGTAGGGGACCGACTCGTCAAACGTGACGTCCTGGGAGGACAGAACACGGCGAGAGGTGGGGTGGTAGATCTGCCACCCTGGCGCGTCAGGGGGGAAACCCAGGAAGACGCATGGAGCAGCACGAGGGAACAGCTTGTCCGCAGACAAGTCGCGGACAAACGCCCGAGATCCCAAGACCCGGAACGCAGACGCATCGCCAACCTTTCCCGTCCACAGCAGGGCTGGGGAGGTCTCCGGCCTGGAGACCCTGGGGTGAAGGTTGATCTGATGCGCCGCGTACCGAACCGCAAACGGCCACAGAAAATGGGGGGCAGCCGCATGCATCATGGACGTACGAGCGACGTCCATGACTATGCCAATGCGGCGCTCAGCAATCCCATTTTGCTGTGGAGAGTCCGGAAGCGTGAAAGTCTGGCGGATGCCTCGTGCACGACAGTAGGCTCGCAGAAGGCCAGAGGAGAACTCTCCGCCTCTGTCAGAGTGCAGACGTAGAACAGGAAAGTCCGAGCCGAAGCTCTGCCTGAGCTGGAGACGAGCTGCGCGGATCCAGTCGATCAACACCTCAGTGACATCACCCTTGCTGCGCAAGGGGAAGACTGTGGTGTAACGCGAGTAGTCGTCAACCACCAACAGGAAGTAGCGCTCGTGACCCTGCCCACGAACGCGGGCCGGGCCCCACACGTCCATGTGAAGCGTCTGCAGCGGGGCCTCCGTCGGAGGAAACTGGGAGGTGTGAGGGGCAGCCCGCTGCCGCCCCTCAACACAGGGGACGCAGGTAGGGCCAGGCCCAGGAGGAAGGGGTGGGAGGGACCGGGGAAGACCAAAGATAAGGACACGGGAGGCCATGCCTCGAGACGAAGCAGGGAGGGGTGACCAAGGCGGTGGTGCCAAAGGAGAGTCTCGTGAGACAGGAGGCGACACGAGCAGGGGGCAGACTCAGGACCAGACCTGGACGCTGCAGCAAACACCTGACCCGACGCAGCTACCTGACCAGATGCAGGGACAGAAGGAGACATAGTGGAAAGTGTGTACACGCTCGACCCCGGCCGACGAGTAAACGTGGCCAAGTGTTGGCCCGTCCGAGCGTCCGTGCAGTGGGTCACTCGCTGGCTCGCAGGAGTGAACTGGTGAACTC